CCAATTTTCAAGTCCCATGGTGTTTTAATTCACAGGTACTTAAGCTGAAACGTTAGAGTACAAAAATCCGGAATTTTTACGGCTGTAACCATGATATGGAAAAAGTCTTTCCAATCTAGTGCAACTGCTTTTATCTTGCCCTAGCACATCCTTGCACTTGTGCCCATAATTACAAAATGCGGGATCTTCTGCTTGAGCCGAATCTGCGTGCCTGTCGCAATTTATTGCGTTCTCTTGCACTAGCTGTACATAGCCATTTGTTGTCAATTACAGCTTTATTTACAATGCAGTTTCACTTTTTATGTTAAAGCTTTGAAAATGGAACAGCGCATATTGCTTTTCATATGTTTGTGCAAGTTCGAGAAAATATCACAGCAAAATTTCACTTTCCTTTATTGACAGTGCATCGGCCTGTCCGCATTTTCAGACGAAATGCACAGCCGAAAAGTGAAAAATTCGGCAGCATAGCTCACTAACATATACAGAATCATGAATTTGAAATGGACTATTAAGTTTCATTGCATCTCAAAAATTTAAAATTCGACTTAGAGGCAAAAACTATTGAGTTTCTCTGCATCTCAAAAATTTAAAATTCAACTTAGGAGCAGGCAAAAAGTACGAACTTTAAATCCTGTGCATTTTTTCACAACAGTTTAGAAGTATATAGCTGAAATGAGAATTCAGAGTCACTGTTTTCTGACATGAAAATTAAGCCAAAATAATCTGATTCTTTAAAAACCAAACTTCGAAACCGGGGTGTTCCACGAGAAAACAAACTACCATTCACCGGTCACTTGGCCATCACACCTCAGAAAACGACAATTAAACTTTTACATAAGTATCAGTTAAAGACCGTAGCAGCATGAGTGCCCCGCTAAGCAAAAAAGTATTTTGAAGCAAAATATAAATCCCGAAGTGAAAATGAGGCAGCAGGGTGAAGTGATACTGGTGCATCGAAAAACAACTCAAATGATTATTTTGGCAGAAGCAAAAATGCCGATAAATAAAGAAGTGGGAACAAAAATGTGAGCTGAGACAAAGAAAGGAAAACCAAGAAGCAAGTGGTTGTACGATACGCTGGCCAGCGTAGTGGAATAGTACAATAAAATCGCAACACATACGAAGAAACAAAGTAGCAAGAAAATGCACCAAAAAGAGGCTCTGTATTATCAAGCACATTGCCAAAAAAACGAATGTGTCAGTTTATTAGAAATAATGTACCATTTCTCAAGATCATCCGAACGCAATACAAGAGCAGTTACGTAGGAAAGCCCCTGTACTGGAATTCAATGATCGCCGTCTGGCGTTAAGAGATTTTTTATAACTCGGAAATACATATATTTGAATTGTTATCTTT